ATCGTCGCCGGCGTGATTCGAACAGGCGCCGTCAATGGCCTTGCCATCATCGCCGTAATATCGTCACCAGCACCGACACCACCATCATCGTGTTTGTCGTTGTCGACGTGTCCGTGGCACCCCGCCCGCCCAAGTCACCGACTCGCATTGAAGTGTTCGCTGGGAAATGCCCAGCGGTCGGCACCACCGCGGCCGCGCCGGTCGCGCCAAACTAGCTGGCCGCTGCGCGCGCGAGCATGCGCGGGCTAGCACGGCCACAGAGGCGCACCAGCCAACGCCAAGCATTCATCGCAGTCACAGCCGCAGTGGGTGGGATGATTGCGCCAGCAGTGGGACTGACAACTTCACCGGCAGGGTGACTTGCACCAAATAGATTGCACCACGTAGATTGTCCCACAAAGATTGCACGAGTTTGTTTCGCTCCCGCGGCGTTTTTTTGGTGATTGTCGTTTTCTGTTGTTTTGTGTGTTTGTTTTCTTTGTGTGCATGTATAACCGCTCGCAACACATATAGCGCACTACATACAGTGCACAGTATAGACCGCACCACATATGTTGCACTACACAGATTGTGCAGCATAGATACCACCACATCGACTGCACAATGCATATTGCACAACATTAACTGCTAGAACACACAGTGTTTGGGGTCCTCACTGGCGAACATTAAGGGTCTAGACGTAAATCAAAACGCTTCCCTTCTGCTTGAAAGCTCCGTCAATCCCCCTCGTCCTGGCTGCTGGGCCAGCCCTTGATACTCGACAAACTCGTGGGGCAGCACAGCACATCCAGCCAGACAGTACGAGACCCCCCCCCCAGCAGGGAAAGGCAAGATCACCTTGTAATGTTCGATCTTGGCGACGGCGGCGGAAGAGGCACTGGAACAGGAAGAGAAGCGTTAAGGAATATAACAGCGCATGAGGGACGGAAGCTGGGAGGGAGGGAAAAAGGGAGAAGAAACGAAGCCAGGGGGCGAATGCAATGCAGTAATAACAATGTAACGGGCAAGAGGAACAGCATAATGGGCGAACCATGGGAGCGTGACGAGCGAAAACTACACGAGCATGAGCCAGAGGAGCATGAAGGGGATGCCAACACGCCGATCGACACTTTTTCGCTCGGGCTGTTATTCAGCTGGCCTCGGGGATGAAAGAGGAGTCTGCTATCGTCCTTTGCCCGCCCCCTGTTGCCCCCCCCCCCACACCCTCCTGAAATGCCTCGGGCCTGGCCCCGCTGGTGCTCGACAGGCCATGTGACTGCGACGACGACGACGACGGCGAAGACAGACGACGACGGCAAAATTCAGCGACGACGCAGACGATGACGACCTTCCGAGATCTTCCAAGATCCGTGACGTCGTGGTTGCTTCACAACGTGAATCCCCGGAGGTTAGTCGAATTCTGATAGCCCCAGAGACAAGTGAAGGCCCCCAGAGGAAGAAAATTGCCAACGACCTTCTGTCATGGCATGACGGCCTTCCGGCGGCGCGCACAAGGGAGAGGGACCGCGAGGGGGGGGTCCTCTAAGAAGGCACGGGCTTCTAAGAAGCCTCCCTTCGACGGCCCGAAAAGCTTTTCAGAGGACTTCGTAGACGCAAGGGATGAGTATCGTTTCGCCGATCTTCATCCCCAGCGGCGTGGCCTAGGCCCCACTGGCCGATTTACGCCCCTAGATGGGGATACAGGTCTTTCCCTTCGGGTTTCGAAGGTTGCATCCCCAACTGGGATTGTAATTTGGTGGAGGTCTCGAAGGGGATGGGGATGGGGATGGGGCTGGGGATGGGCTCAACGATGCCGAAGGAAAGCGCCCAAGAAGGCGCCCCCGGCTCCCGAGGCTCCCCCCGCCCTCTCAGAGGAGGCCGCCCCTCCCCGCCCTTCGCGCCACCCCCTTGCTGCGCGCCGCCAGGGTCGGGTCGGACGGGGAATGCCAGGAGCCGAACCCCACACACCGACGCCTTTGTCTGGCCTCGCACTGAGTCTCGCACAGGACGGCGGATCCTGGTGTACACATTCTTCGTTGCTTCCCCCGGAAAGCGGAGGAAAAAGTATACACCATGCCACCCCGACGTCGTCCCCGACCCTCCAAATCCTGGGATTGAAAAAACCGCCCGCCCCTGGTAATGTATGTGCTCCAATTTCCGAGAATGACCCCGGGGGGTAGGGCATCGGCTTCCGCAGCCTTTCTTACGCAGCCTCCCAGCGCCGAGGGCGCCAACGCATCAAGGAACGTACTGGGCGGCGGGGCCGAAGCCAGCTGCATGGCAGCAATTTTTTCGGGAGCGGCCAAGAGGGGGGTGTCCAAGAGGGGGGGCTGCAAATCATGACCGGCGGCATGTGCGCGGCCCAGCGGGGGGGCCAGGGACGTCATGAGATAAGAGGAGGCGCCCTGAGATCTGGGGAAATACCATGGCCCCCGCCATGATCTCCACCCCCCCCTAGTCATCACCCCCCTCTTCTCCGCCCCCGAGGTTTCCTGTAACTGCCCCCCTCCCCGGTCCAGAACGTCCCACGTGTCATGTGCTGCTGCTCCGTGCGCGGCCCCGGCGGCCCCGACCCCTTCCGCGGAGAAGCCGCAGCTTCTCCCGCACCGCATCCATGTTTGTAATGCGCCCCCCGCGGCCCGAGCACGGGCCCCGGAGGGCCGAGATCGGAGAGGGCATCGAACAGAACTGAAGGGGCCCCAGGACACACACATAAATGCACGCAAATAAAAAGATTCCCCATATTTTCCCATATTTTCTGGGTTTCTGTCTTCCCCCCCACTTGCCATATTTCCCTATATTTTCCTGGGGGTCGACGATGAATTGTGTCTGTGTGGTTTGTTCCCTCCTGAAGAACCACATCCTCGGAGACCCGGGACCACACCCCTCTCGTCCGATCGTCTGCAGAAGTTGGCGGCGCGCACTTTAAGGGGACCAGGGCGAAGGGGGCAGGCTCCTTAGAAGAAGGCTGCTTCTTGAAGGCGCCAGTCCTACACCTTCAGACCCAGGCCGGCGCCTCCTATCGGGGGCGCGCAAAAATGGATTAGCGATCCATGGACTTGGCAAGCGGTCGCCTAATCCATGGATCGGGAGAGGTGCCCTCCCAAAAATGCGGCCGGTGCCACCTCTTTTCGACGGCGGAAATCCGCGATTTCCCATGGACCCGCCGCTACTCCACGCCCCCCTGGTCCATGCCTGCGGTCGCCCGCTTCTATTGGAAGCAGGGGTGCTCCTAAGAAGCCTTCCCCCTCCGCCATGTAGCCCCCTCTGCGCGCGGCTGCCCCCTCGCGCCCGACCCCAAAGGACCCTGACCTTCCAGGAGGGCTAAAAAATAGCACCCGACTTAAAAACCTATCCCAAAGCTATTCTACGTCTTGGTTTTAGGCTGTTTCGCTCAGCTTTTTAGGCTTCTAGGTCTCCAGTGCTGAAAAATAGCTCTCTGGAAGGTCAGGGGAGGGCCCGAGCCCAAAGGAGGTGGCCCGCCTGGGACGCCGGCCTCGGCGGCGGCGACGCAACGAAAAAAAAAGAAGGGCGAGGAGCGGCGGCGGCGGAGGGCGGCCTCCAGGCCCGCCACGGAGCAGCCCAGGGCGCCCGGCACCTGCCGGGGGGGGGGGGGGGGGGGGGAGCGGGCGGGCGGGCGGGTCGGGTGCTGCCGCGCCGCGGAGGGGAGGAACGATCGATAGGGAACGAAGCCCACGTTTTGGCCTCCAAGGCGCAGGCGTCCACGAGGAAGGCTAACAAGGAGTAGCCACGGAGGGGCCGAAGGAGCATCGAGCCCCTGCCGAGCCAAAACTGTGCCTCACTTCAGCGTCTTGGATGTGTGTTCGGTGACTGCTCGTTGCGGTGAGGGGAGAAGGGTCCTGGACCCCAAGGCCTTCTCCAGGATAAACTGCTCATCCGGTCGTTGCTTGACGGTCTCCGGGAAGAGGCCCAAGAGAAGGCCGAACATGGCAATCGACGGCGATCTCCCGCAGGACCCGTATCCCCCAGTGATGGCCACGAGGCCGCCTCTTTCTCAGAGGCCTTCTATCCATGTATTGTAATGAAGGGAACAAGTGAGGCCAGCGGTAACGGGGCCTGAACCCCGCGGGCTTCCTATGGGACCCGCTCTTCATCCCGAATTGTTTTTTTTCTGACGGGCCCCGGGCCAGGGAGCGGCCCCTCGAGGCCGAAAGCAGAGAAGGACGCAGGACCCATAGTTCCCTCCTCAGGACCCCCCCTTGCCACGAGCACTGGTGGGGCGGCGCGAGGGGGGGCCTCTCTTAGACGGCGGGGTGCTTCTTCGAAAGCAGGGGGCCTTCTCTCACAAGGGCCCAGGAGGCCCCCGAGAAGGCTCCTGCGAAGCCGGGGCGGCGTCGAAGAAGCCCCTGCCTTCTGATTGAGGAACTCCCCATCGAAGGCTGCCCCCCCCTCGGCGCCCCCCCCCCCCCCTGTGCGCGCCGCCAGCCCCTGCCGTGAGATCCGGGCGTCGCATCTTCTCCACACCTGGCGTTCCTTCGTCCCGCTTCGGGCCGTCGGGCCCTCACGGACCGATCCGGCTCGAGTGATGTCATGTCGCTGATGTCCTGGGGCCCACGGCTCCTGTCGCGATGCCTGGCGATGCTGCAGATGGTTCGCGACGTCGGATCGCGGGGTGCGCCCTCTGAGGGGCGAAACACTCGAGGACAGGCTCAGGTGGGAGGCATCGAGCAGGAATCGGCGATGCATCGTCGATAGATCGGCGATGGGCCATCGATGGCGAAACCCCATGGTCCTGGGCGGGCTGGTCTGTCGGGTCCCTATCGACGGTCTATGGGAGATTCGGGGTCGGTGCATCCCCCCCTGGGCCTGTCTAGAGGAACAAAAAACGACATAAACATAGTGTATCTGAAATCCGTGCGGATTTCTTGGATCGGAGCTGGACCCCCCTCCTTGGCGCGCGGAGCGCGCATGGGGCGGGGCCGGAGGCGCCGCAAAAGGGACCCAACGCCGATCCAAGAAATCCGCGCGGACCCCAGTCTGTGAAATGTGTTTGTTTCTTTCTCCGACTATCCCCCTGACGCTACCCCAGCCCCTCGTGCTGGCATCTGGCCGGCGGCTGATCATAAACGTGTCCGGCTGTCGTCACCACTCTTTCACACCCATCTGCAGGCCTCCCGAATGGGGTCGAGCAAATAGGGGTCGGACCCCATCCGAGAGAACAAGATCCACGGCGACAGTGACAGCGATCCCTGCAGAGCACTGACGTGGCCATGAGCTGCCGACGGCCGTCGTCCCCGCTGTTCCCGCACCCGTCCCGATCGTACTGAGCCCAGACAGGCGGCGCCTTGATTTTCCGAGGCACGGATCTCCGACCTCTCGACCGCTTCCCTGGGACTGGCTCTTCGTCCCGTGTCGTCAGTTGACGGCCCCGAGGCCGCAGGAAGAGCCCCGAGAGGCCGAACACGCTGAAAGACCTGTCTCGACTTCTGCGAGACGCCAGATGCCTGGGCGTGGTGGACGGCGGCGCTTGTTTTCTTCACGCGGGGCGCCCAGCGGCTCCTCCTCTGAGCATCGTTTCACCGTTCCCGATCCCCGCCGGCGTGGCCTGGGCTTCCTTGGCCGATGTACCCCCCCGAGATGGGGATATCGGCTGCCCGTTTCGGGCTTCGAGCGGCACATCCCCAACTGAGGTGGTGGGATGGTCGAGGCCCAAACACCCGACGTATTTGTTTGTCATAACGTCGACCCCCTTCTCAACCAATTCCCCAATACCGGGTTTCCGTCCTGAGTCGACGCTCGCGAAACCCGGCAGTAGAAGACAAAACATCCACCCCCAGAATAACCATCTCGACAAGCGAGGCCTATTAGTAAACGCGCCTAGCTTTCAATAAACGCGCAAGGCCATTTAGTAAACGCCAGTTGTCCAGTGCGGGTGGTTTTTCCTCCCTTGAGGCAAAGGCCTCCAAAGACTGCAAGGATACATTGCCGTGACAAAAATATTATGCGGTCTTCATTCAACATGACTCAAGACTGGCGGAGTAAACGGAGTGGGCGACGTAGAAATTACTCCGCGTGGGCATGCATCCCGTCCCATTTTTCATATAGGAATGGGCGGAGTAATTTCCGATCCTGTTTTGAGATAGCAATGTCATTGATTAGAGGTAGACGAATTACTCCGCGGGATAGCGGAGGACGCATGTCAATGTTAGGAATATTCCGAGGGATAAGAGATTCCAACATATCATAAAACCGCATAATCTTTTGTCACGGCGGTGTAGCAGGACATCTGTCGTCATGTTCTTTCAGAACTCGAGGGGGTCTGGGGTCGGGATGGGACTTGGGACAGGGATGCTTCGAGGCGGGGATTTATACTTAACCACCGCCTGGAGGATCACTTTCGCGGACCTCCAGGTCCACAGGCGGTGGATATGCATGGATTTTAGCCCCTGGGGGCGTAAATACATCCATACCCACCACCCGCTGGGCCCCCGGAAGCGGTGGATCAGGATATCCCCCCCGCCTCGCAGATGGGGATCGCCCAAACGATACCGAGCCTCAGCGCCCCGCCCGCCCGCCGCGCCGCCGCCCCGCGGGCGGGGCGCGAACCGCCCGCGCGCCCCGCCGGGCTCCCAAAGCTCCACGCGCCCGGGCGCCCACTCGAGGGCCCACTCGGCCAGCGCCCCGAAGTCGGCGCGGCTGTCGCCGCGGGGCACCCGGTAGACCCTTCCAGGGCTCGAGCTGAACATCACGTAGCTCGGGGGGGGGCGAAAAGGTAGGACAGCAAAGGCCAGGGTAGAGAAGCACACCCGAGAGAAACCCCAATCGATGGATGGTTTTCGCTGAGGAGATCGACCGGGAACCTGGGAGCCTGGGAACCCAGAACCCACCGAAATCGGCCCAGAACCAACAGAACCTGGGAGCCCGGAACTGGGAACCCGGGAACCCGATACCAGCTGCGTGCAGCAGATTTCGCCCCCCCCCTTTCCCGATCCTACCCTTGCATCCGGCCCGAGCATATTCGTCTCTACCAGGGGGGCGTAATGACCAAACTCGTTCCCAAAAACCGGTTCGAGTGCGACCGAGACCGGCGCACTGGCGCCCAAAATCTTCTGACCGCGCCCGAGTGTGACCAAAATGTTTGGTCCGAAAGCAATGCGATTGTCAGTTTTGGTCACAAGTTCGGTCACACTAAGTTTTCGGTCACACTGTCAGGCATGCTTTCGGTCCAATATGTTTTTTGGTCACACACCTGTTTTGCTGGTAGAGGCCGGGCGCCATGAGAAACAACGATAAAGAGTCTGTGTTGCATTCGACATGCTTTCGTTTTCACTCGTTCTGTCTTCGTTCCTGCTTTGCTGCAAAGCGGCATCACATCCAAAACAAAAACGAAGCACCACAAATACGAAAAACACGGCTTGGGGAACACACAATGACATAAACATAACAACTCAGAGGTTCGCGCGGATTGTTCGGATCGGCGCTGGGCCCCCCCTGGCGGCGCCTCCAGCGCCGCCCCTGGCGCGCTCAGCGCGCCAGCGAGGGGTTCCAACGCTTGTCCGAAAAAGCGGACCTCTGAATTTGTATGTGTATGTCATGGTCTGTTCCCCGAACCGTGTTTTTCGTTTTCGTATTGTTCCTGGATCCCCTTGTTCTGTCTTCGTTCCTGATTGGCTGCAAGACGGCATCATGACGAAAACAACCCACGAAATTGCCAAACACCCAATTTGGCTCGAACCCTGGACCCTTCCAGGGGGGAATCAGTAGCCGCTACACCAAGACACTGCTCACCAGGACTTTTCAACTTCCGCCTGGCGAAAACCGAGGATGGCGAATGTCTCGACCCACGCACGAGACGGGGGCTTATGCACCATCCCTTCAGGCGGCGTGGGCGCAGCCTCAGGCTGGCGCCCCGCCCCTCCCCCACGACCTCCAGGCGGCCCCGAGGCGCCCGTCCTCCTGCGGGGGGGGGGGGGAGGGGAAGGGAAGGGGGGCGGGGCCGGCCGGTGGCGATAGGGAGCCCCAGCGGGGCAGAGCGATGGGCCTGGTTTTCACCACCGTAAGTTGGATGGGGGGGAGGAGGAGAAGGGGAGAACGAGGAGGAGGACGAAGAGGAGGAAGAGGAGGAGGAGGAGGAGGAGGAGGAGGAGGAGGAGGAGGAGGAGGAAGACCCCCTCCAACTCATGGCCGTGGTGGTGGAAAACAAGCCCATCATTGAGCACACCCGTCCGCGCCCGCACCCTCGGGGGCCGAACAACATCTGGTCTCGCTGGCGCGGAGCGCGCGGGGCGCTCGCGCTGGGCAGCGGCCGTGCGTGCCCGCAGCCGCGAGGCCGCGGTGTAACGGTCGAGGAGATCGCGGCTCGCGTCCGCGTTGCGCCCTGGGGGCTGCCGCGAAGGCGTGGGCGCGGGCGTGTGAGCTGGTCCCCGGGAGCTCGGCTTCTCGGGGCGAGCTGGGCAGCGGTTTCTGGCTGGGGCCTGCCTGGAGGCCCGGACGATGGCCGAGCTCGGGCCTCGAAACATTGAAGTCCCCCAAGGCTCCAGGGCGAGCGGAAGGTGGTCTTGGGGGAAGACATGGTTGGGGGTTCTTTGTGACCCGATTGAAATCGTGGGCGAAAGCCGCATCCATATCCCGAGGCTCGCGGTCTGGACTCCTAGGCCGCGACCCCACGGTTGCACGACGGCTCTGCGCGAATGCTCCCCGCGCGGAATGCACCCACGAGATCGCACATCCGCGAGATAGTGCATTGGAGTCGAGAACACCACGGCTCGGGTGTGGATGACCCGACACGCGATTTTCTTTGTCTCGATCTGGCCTCTCGGCCAGCTGTAGCAGACAGCGGGTCGATCCTTACGAAACAATCCTGAGAGTTGGCGGGCTCAGAAGAACATTGTATATAGGGAACCCACAAAGGACGTACGCGGCCAGCTATGTACATGAACACGGCCCCTTGACCCGCGAGACCGGCCGCGTGATACGAATATTCGCCGGCCGAATGCGAAATCTCGAAAACAGCGTGGATTCATGTACGTGTACGTCCTTCTTTCGCTCCTGAGTATAGAAAATTTTACATAGAGTGGGCGGACCTCGCGGAGTTCCAGCCGCTTCCCAGGCACGGAGCTCGAGGGCTGGCCCCGAAGCTGACATATGTTTCTGTTGCGGACGTGGGCTCCGCGCGCAGCACCATCCAGGAGCCTGATTGGCTCACACTCAGATGGTTGGCAAGAGAGTTCAGAGCTCTCCTCGGGGACATCCGGCACTCGACGGCACCTATGATCAGCGGTGAGGCTATCCTGCTCCGGCCTCGGTGGCTGACAGCATCGCCTCCTGCCAGGGCGATTCCCTCAGGGTGGTGGCTCATACCGCCGATGGGCACGCGGGCTCTCTTGGGATCCCGATACAGGCTGGGAAGTGCTTTCCGAGCTCGCCATCTCTCTCGGCAAGTCTTCGGCCGAGGCGCGCCTTCGCAGTTTGAGGATTGGCAGGCTTGGCTCGTGGACGAGATCACCAAGACGGAGGATAAAGAGCGCGCAGGTGGACGAAGGAGTGCAAACCGCAGCCCGCCACGACGCTGTCGAAGCACGGCCACGCCGCGTCCGATCCGCGTGCTCTGTGGGAGACAGAAGCGGCCAGGTCAGCAGGAGTGCCTCGCGGAGAAGGAGCCAGACATCATCGACCAGCCTCTGAAAATAGTGGGACCCTGAAGATCCTGTCCAGATGCCACTCGCAAGGTGAGTCGCTCCTACTCCAGCTCCAAGGCAATTTCGGCCGATGGCTCCCACATGCGGCACTGTGCTAGTATGTCCGACGGATGCTTAGTGGCCATTCGACTTGGAATCCAGGATATCGAAACGACGGGGCTCCTCCCGCGCCACGTGCAGGTGCTCCAAATGGTCCTCTTGGCTGGGCCCCAAGAGGGCCTCAGGTGCGCCGGCCTTTCTTGGTCGGGGCGCGGGGTTTTTGGCGGAAGAAGGGCCCGCCGCGGGATCGCCACCTCCGGGGAGCTGGCCAACCCTCGGAAGTCTCTTGCTGCTGCGTCCTCGAATTCAGGGGGCCTCGGATGCGGCGTGGAGACAGGCGCTCCTTAGCGGACAGGGCGCGAGAGAAGCAAAGCTGCTGCTGCGGCGCTATGGGATCTACTTGAAGTCTACGCGGGGATGCACTTACCGTTGGAGGAGTCGAAAGCTGCGCAGATCGATGACTACCGCGCCCACGGTGGTGCCGCGGAGCTGGCTGTCAGCACAGACCGCAAGTTAGCCACCACTATGCTCATGACCGTCATTCAAGCAGATTTCCACTGCAGAGCGGCGGACGATCAGGCTCCTGTCATTGCTTCCACGAGGGGCCCGGGTAGCACGATTGCTGAGTTTGGGGGGGCGAGTCGCCGAAGGCCCTGCTGAGCAGTCCGCGGTTGATCTGGGCGCAGACGACACGGCAAGCAAAATCAGGCGCAAAGGGAACAGGGGCCGCACACGGAAATCCAGGGTCAGACCTTTGAGGCCGAGAGCCAAGAGGCCCAGGAAGTCTGAGACTGCTCTTGGCGAGTGGCCCCGCAGGTCTCACCGGCCCTCTGGGCGTCGGGGTGCCTGGGGAGCTTCCTCTTCCAACCCACACGATTCCCCTTCGGGGAGGGGTTTACCCCTGTTCCTTATCCCCCCACCCAGGCGACCGGGGTCCTAACCAAGAACCATGAGGACACCAGGACATCCTGCCCCCATCATCCCTGTCAAAAAATAATACAAACCGCACTCTGCCTCCACATTTCGAGCATGCGCGACCAACCCGATGCGACCCCCCCACTATCATTGACAAAATACAATGCGAAATACACTTGGGGCAAAATCATGAGTCATATCCGTGAGGCCCGCGAATACTGTGTATTGATTTTGACAGGGACGGCGGGGGTGCCAGCATATTCCCTGCCGTGCGCAGAGCTACCATCCTTGACAACAACCATACAACATGCATCTCGCGGCTAAATCTGGATCATGCGCGGCCATCCCGCGATCACTGTCAAATAGTTTTGACAGGGACGGCGGGGGTGGTGGCGCGTGGCCTGCTGTGCGCAGGCCCATCAGGCACAATGCTGAGCATTGTTTTTCGACAAGGATGGCGGGTCCAACATGTTTCCCGATATGTGCTGTCACGTGCTCAGGCGCACCTGACGCACTCTGCACGTGCCCCGAACATGGCGCACCTGGCGCGGCTGAAATGTGCGGCACACCTGGCGCACTCGCAGCACGTGGCGCATCTGGCGCACCAGGCGTGCCTGGCACGCTCGGGCCCCAGGGGTGCCTGGCACGCGTGGCGCCCCTGGCACGCGTGGCGCACCTCGCCCAAGCGTCGCGCACCTGGGGTCGGCTTTGGTTCCCAATACTTCCACAGACGACCGCTGAACATGCTCAAGCTCGGGTGTTACTTTTGTGTTGGGAGGGCGGGTGGGCGTGAGCTAGACGCCTTGCGGGCGGGTGGGTAGCTTGATCCCTCCCCCTACCCCCACCTGTGGACCTGGACGGGGCGCCCCGCGAGGTGTCAGAGGTTACGTTTTCGCCCAAGATAGCTCCAAAAGTGCCTCAGAGAGCACGGGATGAATTCTAAGATCGCTCAAGAGCGATGCCACAAGTCGGCTACCAAGATGCTCCAAGAGGCCCCAAGAACGCTCCAAGGCGGCTCCAAGGCGGCTCCGAGACCTCCAAGGAGGCCTCCAATAAACCCAACTCCGTCCAAAATCCAAAGGCAATCATTGATTGTTGCTTTCTCGCCTTTTCGCATCCGATAGCCATCCGAGGCCTCAAGATGGCTCCAAGATGACCCAAGAGGGCCCCAAGAACGGCCCTAGAGAGCCCCAAAACGGCCCCAAGAGCGCCCGAAGAGCGATCCAAGAGGGGTCCAGGAGGCGATGTTCGGTGCTCCCGAGGGGGGAGGCTAGTTGGAGCTCGCTTAGTTTTTGCTCGATGTCCTCCAAGATATCCCCAAGTGCACCCCTAAAGCTCCCAAGAGCGCCCCAGGAGGGCCCCAAGACGCGCCCAAGAGACGCCCAAGAGACCTCCAAGAGGCTCCCACGATGCCTCAGGAGGATTCCCGAGGTACCCAACTCTCCATCCTTCTCCTCCTTCTCCTCCTTCTCGTCCTCCTGGTCTTCGCCCTCCTCCACCTCTCCTCTTCCTCCTCCTCCTCCTCCTCCTCCTCCTCCTCCTCCTCCTCCTCCTCCACGGGTCCAAGCTGATGCGCCGCTCCTTCGACAAATGGGCAACCTCACTGCGCTCGCCATTCTAGAGCACGATCCGTGCTACTATGGTACCACGGCGCCGATACTACGCTATGCGAAAGAGGTGTGGACCACTAGCTTGAAACAATTGTGATGCTCCGTTTCTGTTGCCGACCTCAAGGGTCCTGGGAATCGGCCTTAGAAGCCGGGTGATCTGGAAGAAAGTGACGGGACCTCTTTCGGCAGTCAGGGCTTCTCTCTCAAGGATCGAGTGGATCATGAGCGATTTCACCACCATTGTCACTGACCAGCAAGTGTCCTTAGCCTCGACTTATACCTCTACAAGGCTGCTCAAGAAACTGCGCGGGAATGTGTTCCTCGGTGTCTTCAGAAACGTGTTGGAATCGCCATGGGGATGGGCTCAGATCGAGCCTTGTTCTTCAGAAGCTGAAGGCATTGAAACGGTCGTGCTTCGAGAAGGGCTGCATTCGGAGTCTGGTGTGCGGAACATGCTGGACCAGAACTCATGCTCTTGAGTCGAGGAATTTACTCGACGGCATTATCTGCCGCCGATGCGGTGCTGCAAAACATAGTATGATGCACCGTCTGTGGTTCTGCCGGGTCATCAGAGAACTACGTGACGAGATCGTGGATGCAACTGTGATCGCCCGAATTGCTACCGTCACGCCCGATAGCCCCGATTGGAACCTAACCACCAGGGGCATCTTCCAATGCCCAGGCGCGTCTGTACCAGGGCCACTTGTTAGAGGAACGGAGGCGCGGTGGACAGACGACCCAACGAATGCGGCGGTGAATTCCGAAGGGCTACTATTTTTCGACGGTTCAGGTCTCAAGAGACCCACAGCGGAGATGTCTAGGGCAGGGTGGGGGGCGGCTGTGTGTAGCAAGGAGCGTCAACTGTTGTGCATTGCTTCGTGTCCTGTTTCTAGCTTCCTCTGCCTCAGACCTCGCAGGCTGGCGAATGTTGTAGACTGGGAGCCACCAGTGTGCTCCTATATAGGCCTTCTGAAGGCTTTTCGGATTGCGCCAACATTGTGCTCCTGCATAACTCCCAAGTGCCCATGCAGGCATCCTATAAAAACCTGTACGCTGGAACCCTTCTGGATGTCTACCAGTATATACTCTCACGTACACAGGGGGAGAGGTGAAAGCTCACGTCGTGGACGACGGCGAGCTGATCGACGATCGACTGTTTTTGTAAGCAAGGCAATTACGAGACTGAAGCTGCTGCTAAACGGGAAGCGTGGAGCCACCCCAGAGCATCGCCCGACGAATTGAAGGCGATAGGCGATCAAGTTGTTATCGCCCGAAAAGTCTCTGCCCTAGCAGCCCGCCTCATGCAGAGTTGGCTCAGGCTGGATCTCGATGGTGTCCCTCGCGTCGAATTCAACTGGCATGTTTCACGATTGGCTTTGGTGCCACTCCTTTTGGAGTTGTCAGCGTTGCTTGAAGAGCCGACGCTGTGAGCAAAAGCCCCCGAATGACCGAGTGTTCGGGTGAGTTGCCCGCCGTCGCCATCGATGTTGGGGCTGCGTACGTAAGCACTCGTCTAAGGTCTTTCCATGCACCGACGGTACGTTGCTAGACGCCTGCTCCAGATGCAAGGCGTATCAAAGCAGAGGCCACGCCCTCGATATTACCAAGTGTTGTTTTATAGACACTGTCAAGAAGCAATCAATTCCTAACTGCCCGTAGCACGGAGCAATATCCTGAGGGGTCAGCACCCCGAGCTGGTCCACGTGCAGGTGGAGCCTTCCAATCTCTTGCTCGCTTGATCGTGGGCACAGCGCTCGTGAACCCAGGCGGGCCGCGGGTCTGGCTGGCCGACCTCTGTGGTCGGGAGCCGCGGCACTCCCCCACCACCAATCAGCCGAGGTGGCCTCATCAGCAGAGACACGCGAACGGCCACCGCTGCCAGGGGGAGGGGGTGCGCCGGCCGGGGCGCTCTCCCCTCCTCCTCCTCCTCCTCCTCCTCCTCCTCCTCCTCCTCCTCCTCCTCCTTTTCCTCCTCCTCCTCCTCTTTCTGCTCCTCCTCCTCTTCTGCTCCTCCTCCTCCTGCTCCTCCTGCTCCTCCTCCTCCTCCTGCTCCTCCTCCCCCTCCTCCTCCTCCTCCTCCTCCTCCTCCCCCTCCTTCTCCCCCGTCCTCCTCCTCCTCCTCCTCCTCCTCCTCCTCCTCCTGCTCCTGCTCCTGCTCCTCCTCCTCGTCCTCCTCCTCCTCGTCCTCCTCCTCCTCCTCCTCCTCCTCCTCCTCCTCCCTCCCTCCTGCTCCTGCTCCTGCTCCTGCTGCCTGCTCCTGCTCCTGCTCCTGCTCCTGCTCCTGCTCCTGCTCCTCCTCCTCCTCCTCCTCCTCCCCTCCTCCTCCTCCTCCTCCTCCTCCTCCTCCTCCCCCTCCCCTCCTCCTCCTCCCTTCCTCCTCCCTTCCTCCTCCCTTCCTCCTCCTCCTCCTCCTCCTCCTCCTCCTCCTCTCCTCCTCCTCCTCCTCCTCCTCCTCCTCCTCCTCCTCCTCCTCCTCCTCCCCCTCCTCTCTCTTCCTCCTCCTCACTCTCGCGCCCCCGCCCCTCCCAGGGAAGCGCCCCCCCCCCCTCCCCGCTCGCTGGAGGTGGGCCGCGCGGTCCTCCGCGGCCCGTGCCTCGCGCACCGCGCAGGAGCCACCGCCAATGGAGAAGACCCTCGCGGCGCCGGTGGCGCGGAGCGCCTCGCGGCCCAGCCGGAAGACAATGTCGTCCCACCTTGGAGCAGGGCTCGAGCCAGACTGTGTTGTTCGTTTTCGTTTTGCTTTCGTTGTCCTTCGTTCTGTCCTCGTCCCGCCCGTCTGTAGAAAACGAAGTCAGAACGGAAGCGACCCACGAGATCGCCAAAACGCCTTTCAGCTTGAGCCCTGCCTTGGAGTGGGCTTGGGGTCTGGTGTTGTTTGCCCAGGTTCTGGCAGAATAAGGAGGTTGGGTGGAAAAGAGTCAACTGATGGCAATATAGGTGATTATGATGAGGACGATATCGATGATGTGCCCTCGGGTTGGCGACAACGCGTGATGATGATGACGACGATGACGATGATGATGATGATGATGATGATTATGATGATGCTGCTGATGATGATGATACTGATGATGATGATGCTGCTGATGATGATGATGATGATGATGATGATGATGATGATGATGATGATGATGATGATGATGATGATGATGAGTGATGCTGTTTGTCATCCCAGACGGTCCTTCTCACAAGAGATCGCACTATCGATTTCCCAATCGATCTCACCGTCGATCAGACAATCGAGCTCACCATCGATCGCACATTCGGACTCGCTATCGATCTCACAACAGTTCTCACGATCAGTTTCACAATCGATCTCGCAATCGATCTCACAATCGATCCCACTGTCGATCCCACGAAAGAGATCTCACAGACGCTCTCACAATCGATCTCACAACAAATTTCACATCGATCTGACAACAAATCTCACGATCGATCTCCTAAACAATCTCACGATCGATCTCGCCGCCCTGCTCCGTGACACTGACTCGCGCCGCCCTGCTCCAGGACACGGAGCACCGACGGGAGGAGGAGGAGGAGAAGGAGGAGGAGGACGAGGAGGAGGAGGGGGAGGACGAGATGGACGAGGGGGAGGAGGAGGAGGAGGAGGAGGAGGAGGAGGAGGAGGAGGAGGAGGAGGAGGAGGAGGAGGAGGGAGGAGGAGGAGGAGGAGGGAGGAGGAGGAGGAGGAGGAGGAGGAGGAGGAGGCGGAGGAGGAGGCGGTGGAGGAGGAGGAAGGGAGGAGAAAGGGAGGAGAAGGAGGGCCAGCACTGGTTCCCGCCGGCAAAGAGAGCGGGGGGGCCTATAGGGGGGCCGTGCTCGCTCCCTTTGGACCTCCGTGGGGGCTGCTCGTCGCCACAGCTGGGCGCGGCTCGAAACCTCTGGCACGTTGGGCTCGGTTGGAGGTGACTACCTACCAGACCACCCCAACCCAACCCGAAGACCCGAATTTCGGGTTGGGGGGGGGGGGGTATGGGTTCCATATGTGTGTTTTTTCGACGTTCCCGGACCCCCCTCCCCCACTAGAAATCGAGGGTAAGTCTGAGCCTTCGGGTTGGGCTGGGGTGGTTTGGTGGGTGGTGAGGAGGGGTCCGAGGGCCGATTTTGAGCGGATCGCCTCTCTCCTTGACCGATTTTCTCGGGCCCCATCTAGCTTCGGTGATGGGAGCGTTTTCCACCACCACCACCATAAGTTGGAGGGGGGAAGAAGGAGGACGAGGAGGAGGACGAAGAGGAGGAGGACGAAGAGGAGGAGGAGGAGGGCACCCTTCCCCTCCAACTTATGGTGGTGGTGGTGGAAAACAGGCCCACCATTTGGCCCCTGGCCGCCTCCAGGTCCTGCCTCCTGTGCCAGGCGCCGACTCCGGGAAAACGTTTACCCCTCGGTCGGGAGACGTGGGCAGAAGCATGAATAGGGGGGAAACAAACCTACCTCGCTTTTGACCACCCTCGCTTCCAAGAGATACCAAACGATGCCAAACTACGGCCTGTACTGGTCAGGCCGCTTGACGAGGAGGCGCGTGGTATGGCTTGGTTTTGCCTGGAAGCGAAAGCGGGGTAGGTAATTCACGCTCTGAATGAAGTAGGAAGACGTTGGAAATACATCGGGCTTCCGCCCACCCCCCGCAACTGATGGAAAAGGTGAAACCACTCGATCATTGAAGTAGGAAGGTGCCTCAAGTAGATTAGGATCCACAAATCCAAAAACGCCTACTTTCAACGGCCGACGGGTACCGCCCCGCTGATGGCGTTTCGAGGCATCTCCAGCGCCGTGACCTCTTCTTACGACGAGGCCCCCCAAGAGCCTCGACTCGACCTCTGGATATGTGTGTCGGCGGGCCGACGTTTTGGATCGACCCGGGGCCCGAAGCGCCCTCCGTGTGCCCAAACCGATGACGAATCACGATCGTGATTTCTGAAGGGGCCCTGGGACACACAGAGAGGTAGACACAAATCCCAGGATTCCACATGTCTTCACACATCTTCTGGGTTCCTGTCTTCCCCCCACTGCCCATACGTTTTCGCAGATTCTCCTGCGGACTCGACGATCCATTGTGTCGATGAAGCGTTTGCTCCCTCGGGAATCTTGAACGACGCCTGGGGACCTGGGCCCGCCGACACGCTTCCGGTGCCCGGAGGACCTCTCCTCCGGCAGGGGCTGCTCCGGCAGCACGTCCGGCCAGCCCAGGCCATCCAGCAGGGCCAGGTGCATGCTGCCGCGGTGCCCGGGCAGCCTGCTCCGCCAGCTCTCCTCGAAGTCCTGAAGGGAGCGCCAACTCCGCAGCTCGACACACACACACACAGAGAATGACCGATCCGGAGGATCATCCGCTTCTGCAGATCCTGGGAAGCGCTTCCCATCCATGAGCAATACTTCGGCACTCGGCACTGCACTCAGGTATCCAACCACATCCGTTCCCCAAACCCGTAATCTGAAAAACGTGTCCCGCGGATCGGACGTCTTGTCGGGGCTCCAACGCTGGCACAAAGCCTGGCGAAGCTCACTGTGGGCACGGGAATGCGAAACGTGCGTGCTCAGCGCTGGTCGCTATGACCATGCAGCAATCCCAGGTCCAGAATATGCCCGATTAGCGGGCATCCCGAAACTCCTTCTGCCCAGGACGTCCGTAGAAGGCCAACGCAGTGACCTCGACCGAGCAGAAGAGCTTGTCCAACACGCGGGTGAAGCTTTGACGACCGTAGAGGTCGCCGTCCCAAACGACGATCCCGTCATCTCCCACAGCGTCCCGCAAATCTTCAAGGATGGACGGTGGCGCGCGCAAGGGGGTGTCGCGAGGGGGCCGGTCTCGTAAAGAAGGCCTGGAGGCTTCTTACAGGGCATGGGCCTTCTTGGAACTTGGAAGGGCCTTGAGGCTTCTCGGAAGGCTCCTTAGAAGCCGGGAGGGTTCCCGAGAAGCCCTTGCCTTCTCAGAAGCCCCCCTCGCCCTCTCAGAGGGAGGCCAGCCTTCTCGCGCCAACCCCCTCTGCCGTGCCGCCAACCTGGCGTCGTCGAACTCCTCCGACATCAGCTTCCCCTCGCCGAAGCCCTTGACGTGCAGGATCCGCTCGGCCGGGACCCCCTCCAAGAAGCGGGGCGCCCCGACGGTCACCGACAGGATGCCGGGAGCTGTGCCCCAGGAGGCGCCCGCGAGGCCCCCGCCGTCCTCCATGTGCTGAGGCGCATCGACGAGGGGGGGCGCGGCGCCGGGGGGGAGCACATCGCCCTGGAATCGACGATGCATCGCCGACGGATCGGCGACAGGCCCCCGAAACCAGGCCCGCAAGTTCCTGGGCGGGGTTGGAGCTATCAGATCCCTGTCGACGATCCGTGCATGGGCGACCAGGGGGGGGCTGCGTCTCCCCCGGTGCCCAATGCCCCCCCTCTCGCTGCCCCCAAATGCGCTCCTCGGGCGAGCGACGAAGGCGCCCCTCCAACCCCAAGGAGGAGGAGGGGGAGGAGGAGGAGGAGGAGGAGGAGGAGGAGGAGGGGGAGGAGGGGGAGGGGGAGGAGGAGGGGGAGGAGGAAGGGGAGGAGGAGGAGGAGGGGGAGGAGGTGGAAACCGATACCGCTACTCCCTGGGCCCCTCCCGGGATGCGTCCTGTCCGGAAGTTCGGGGCGAGCCCAACGGTGGCGACGAAGGCCTCCCAGAAGGCCCCGAATGGGGAACACGGGCGAAGGGCAGAGATATGGGCACCTTTTCCTCCTCCGAGCTCACTGGCGCGGAGAGACGGCATACTTGAGCAGGGACCGACCGTCCCGGCGTTTCCATAGGCCTACCACGACATGTTCTTAGAACCCAGAAATGTTCTAAGAACAAGAACAACGTTCTCAGATCATGCTCCCGATCTGTTAAAACAAGACGACCCCTGCCAGAACTGTCCAGGAACATGTCATGGAAGCCACAAGAGGTTCTTCGAAAATTGCGTGGTAGGCCTGCAGACACGCCAAGACGCTTCGCCACTGCTTGGTCCACGCGGCCTGCCCTGCCGCGCAGGGCCCCGGGGGCGGCAGCGGGGCAGCCCGGCTCGAGCCGAGCTGGCCTGGGGGGCGGTGCCTCCCGGAGGGTGTCTGGGATAGGGGACCGCATGCGAACCCTACCCCCTGCGAAATGCTTAAGAAATCATGGGTTAAGAAATTCATAGTCTCAGAAATGGAATAAAACCCAGAACTTCTATCAAAATCTTGGGATTTACATTGAAAAGTTAAGAATAATCGAGACTCTGGACGAAAACTTAGGTTTTCTTTAGCATCGCCTAAGGTGTACCCCTACCCCCCACGATTTCTGAGGGGGAGGGTGGGGTTCACCTCGCGCGGGAGCTCCCGAACGAAGTGAACCCCACCCTCCCCCTCAGAAATCGTGGGGGGTAGGGGTAGGGTTCGCATGCGGTCCCCTATGGGAGGGCGGGGTCGGGCGGTCGCACCGCGTCGGTTGTGCGTCGGCGGCCTCGGCGGCGCCGCGGCGACGAAGGGCGTGCAGAACAGCGGTTCACACGCTGAGCCGCATCGCCGAGGCATCGGCGATGCGGCGCGATCTGCGCCTTCTCGTGGCAAGCCTATGCCGAAGCGCGGTCCCACAGGTGCTCGATACCGTGTGTGCGCTCCGCGCGCGGCATCTGTGCACAGCCGCCGCGTATCCACGCGGTCGCTGCCGAGGAGTGGGTCAAGACCGCGAAGTCGTGAACATGGCTATGGTGCCCGCCCACGAAAAACGACAATCATGTCCACATGCACCGCGCACCCACACACTGTCGAGCGGAAACCACCCATACACACAGATTAAACATCTGTGATGCTGCTTTGGAATCGACGAAATAAAACCCAAACAACGAAATGTACGGAATTCCGTGCGGGCCCGCGCGCTGGCTGTCGCAGCCGACTTTAAACTCGTCCGTCGTGAAGATTGGAAGAAAACCACCAGGTTATCTCATCGGGGGGGCTTCCCAGCACGTCGCACAGGTCGCGCTGACGCGGGGGCACTTCAGTGCGAGTCGGTGACTTGGGCGGGCGCAATGATTGCAGCGATGCTGGTGACGACGGTGACGATGACGATGGCAAAGCCAATGACGGCGTCGATGCTGATTACGCAAATGACGATGGTGTCCACGTGTCGGTGGAAAGTTGTGGAAGAAGTTCGGCATGCACGCGCGGCCAGCGGGCGCGGGTGGCCCACATGGTGATGTTTGACAAGGAACGTTTGGCGTTCGAATTATTTCACTATGCGCGCGCGAAAAGAGGCCCGACTGGCTGCCTTCGATAAGAGATGTGGCACACCCAAGATATTATTCCATATCCGCAAGAGCGACTATTGTTATTATATATATAAAAACGATTCAAACACCATGTTGCAACACCATTGTGTGTTCCACCTGTTGCCGGGCAGCTCGATATTGAGATCCGTACGCAACCCATGGTGTTTGAAATATTTCGGCGTTTGCGTGCTGCGAATCGTTCGCTCTTGATAAACAGTTGCGCGCGAAGCCCGTTTGTTTTGCAGTCGATAAACAGGGGCCAATCCAGGCTTGGCTGATATCGTATGAGACCGAAAGTAAAACAAACAAATATGCAAACTGCACACCTCGAGGCCGGCGCGGGAATGATTGGGGTAGGGCGGTAGATTCGACTTCCTCGAAAAAAAAACAGATTCGACGCTGCGCATTCTATTGGTGCAGTTGGCCCAGCCGAATTTGAAGCCGTCAACTCCGCTGCTCGCGCAACAACCCCATCCACCCACGGTTTGCAAAACCCATGCGTCGGCGACTGTGATAACTGGTCCGCGCTGGCTGGCGCATCGTCGCGGCCGCGCTAGAACGCACGCTCGCGCGCGAAGCGGCCAGCTGCTCTGGCGCGACCGACGCGTCCGCGGTGGCGTTGACCGCTGGGCATTTCCCAGAGGGCACTTCAGTGCGAGTCGGCGACTTGAGCGGGCGCAGCAGCATGGCAGTGTCGACGAACGTGGACGCGATGGTGGTAGTAGCGATGCTGGTGACGATGGTGACAACGACGACGGCAAAGCCTGCGAAATCGACGATGCGGATCACGCGTACGACGATGACGGCGTCCTCGCGCCGGTGGTGAACGCTTGGGAAGGAATTCGACATGCGACCGCGGCCGACGCGCGAATGGCCCACCTGGCATGACTTGACACGGATCATGCACCCCCAGCGCGCGCAAGGGCTGTCGAATGATTCCGACATGCGGCGCGGGAAGCCCGCTTGGCCGAATATAATGACAATGTTATCTATATATATATATATGTATATACATAGCTAGTTATATGTCTAAACGATTCCCTCAAGAATTCGAGGGTTGTGAAATCCCTGCAACAGTTGCGGTTTTTTCAAAAGATTCCCGCACGCGTTCGCGAGGACGCGCGCGCATCGATCCATCTTGCGCCGAAGACTTTTGCGACAACTCGCACGAAACGGCGCCCGGGCGATGTCGACATGTGCGCGCGAACAAACATGCCCGGAAGCCTTTGTTGACTGTTGGAAGCCCGAGGGTGTCTTGAAGAATCTAGAGTGTTGTTTGAAAAATTTGGTTTGGAAGTTTTTACTGTGCTTTCGGGGCGGTCGGTGTTGAACTCTGGGCAACACCTCCGCTTCTTTTTTTGCTGATTTCCGCACGCGCGCGACAACGCGCGCGCGCACTTCGTCCTCTTGGTCGCTAAGGATTATGGAACACGGCTGCTTTCAGATAAACAGGAACGCGCGAGAAATATGTTTGGGAAGAGGATGAGGGGGGGCGAAGCCGTTCTAGCTGGGATACGATGACCTCATACTTCAGATGGGCGATGGGACAGAATCGCACATGACTTGCAATGCGCAATGGGGTGTCGTTAAGTCCGGGGGGGTGCGCGGGGAAGATCCAACTACTATTAAACCACCCTGCCGAACTTTCAGTCGTCAACTCCATTGTTCGCGCAATCATCCCACCCGCCCGCCCGCAACATGATTTGCAAAACCCATGCGCCGGCGATTGCGATGACTGGTCGGCGCTGGCTGGCGCATCGCCGCGGCCGCGCTAGCGCGCGTGCTCGCGCGCGAGGCGGCCAGCTACTTTGGAGCGACCGACGCGGCCGCGGAGGCGCTGACCGCTGGGCACTTCCCTGCGGGCACTTCAGTGCAAGTCGGCGGCTTGGGCGGGCGCGGTATCATGGCAACGTCGACAAAGGCAGACGCGATGGTTGTAGTAGCGATGCTGGTGACGATGATGACAACGACGACGGCAAGGCCTGTGACGGCGCCGACGCTGATCGCGCCGACAACGATGACGGCGTCCTCGCGTCGGCGATGCAAGTTTTGGAAGAAATTCGACATGCGACCGCGGCCGACGCGCGAGAATGGCCCGCTAGGCAAAATTTGACACGGATCATGCTCCCCCAGCATGCGCACAAGGGCGTTCGAATGATTGCGACATGCGGCGCGAGAGGTCCGTTTGGTAGAATTAGATGGCAACGTTGACAACCTACCTATAGTTTTTCTTTGGAATCAGCATGAGCGCAAGCGCTGGGATTTCGAAAAACTGGCGTTGCCAAACCATGCGTTTTGAGATGTGTTTCGGGGCCTCGGTGTCCAAATTGAAACAAACCTGACGTTTTTGAAAGATTTCCGCACGCGCGCGCGGCGACGCGCGCTTGCGCACTTCGTCACGTATTTTGCAAGGGATTCTTGCGACACCACGCGCGCAAGGGCGCCCGGGCGATGTCGACATGCTCGTGCGAGAGGCACGTTTGGAACATGTGGTAAACAAATTGGAAACCCCATGGTTAACATGCAAGAGCGCGAGCGCAGGGTCTTGTATACATATATACACAATAGTTGGACAAATAGCAGTTGCGAAACAATGCATATCTTATACATGTGTTTGGGGTACTCGATCTTGAAATCCTTACGAGGCAGATGTTCTTCAAGGATTCCGGCATGTGCGCGCGATGACGCGCCCGTGCATTCAACCTCAGAAACCTCTCTTGAAATCACGACCAGAGCTCTAGACCCCGTCCTCATATTTCGAGCCAGATCGATCTGTGATGGTCCCAGGGTCCGAAAACCTGGCGAAAACGCCCGTTGTGAAAAACATGCAACGCACAGATCTCAGAGGTGGTCTGGGCGTCCAACCCCCAAAGCGGTAGCATCACTAAGGTTGCCAAGGGAACAAGGGGGATTATAAGCGGATTCGAATGTGGGTTATAGTTGACCTGACCCTGCTTACAACTGAGTTTCATGTGCCCTGAACTGACTTCAGAAATTTGGTAACTCTGCTAAGTGGACTTCGTCCGCTCAGCCAAGATCGCTGCCCCCCCGTAAGCCGCTTAGGGCACTTGTAACCTACTTCTAAGCTAGGTTCGGCCAGGCATAACTCACATTGGCGTCCACTTTGCAAACATCTATCCCCTTAGCAACCCTAGCGGTGATCCAAGTAAATGTTCGTTTGGGGGCCTTCCGAGAGCCACTCGCTCCACTCATGCAGTACTGCTGCGTCGAACTTCCATCGACCTGAGTCGAACGTGAGTCGAACTTGAGTCGAGCTAGGTTAGGCCAGATGCAACCCACCTTGACGTCCACTAAGAAGCGCCCTTGTTTGGAGGTGGGCGGGGGGTCCAGCCTGGTTGGGACGAGTGGCCCGCATGGCCGTATTGAGTGAGATTGTTGAGAAACCGATGGCTTTCTTAAGAACACTCAGGAGCACGGGCGCAGGCTTCTCTTGAAAACTTATGTTGCAAAACCATGTGATTGCTTCCTCGTGCTTTCGGAACGCTCGATCTCAAAATCCTTGTTGGACCTACAGTGTTTCAAGGATTTCGACATGCGCGCGACGACGCGCGCGCGTGCATTTCGTCCCATTCGTTGCAACGGATTCTTGCGACAACACGCGCGCAAGGGCGTTCTTGCGATTCCGACATGCACGCGCGAAAGGCCCGCTTGGTAGCATGCCATGAAATGTTGAACAACCTGCGGTATTCTGAAACATTCGTTGGAGAACGGGCGCATGTTTCTGTGGTTTGGGAACCAGTGTTGCCAAACCATGTGTTTTATATGCTTTCGG